TGGCAATGAGACGATATACGATAGAATGAATGTAAAACTAATGTTCTCCCATGTAAACTATCACATAATTCACAATAAAACATTTAAGAAGAAAAAAAAATGTCTCAGGCTGAGTGACCACCTTCTGTCCCCTTGTCTCTGAGCAGTGGTTCCTTGAGGGCAGGGTCAGTTCTTGAACAGTTGGGGGCCCGATGTTAGATGGGCATAGGGCAGGGTGCCCTGTGATGTGAGCCAGTCCAGCTAGAGCTAAGATTGATGCCCCTGGTGTATCAGTCAAGGCAAGCAACTCCTGGCTCAATGTGGCCATGTCTCATGCTGGTATTATGGTCCCTGTACCTGTCTTGGGAGAGTTAACTCAAAACCATTTTCCTGTCACCCCCTTCTCTGAGCCTCCCACCTCTCTGGGGGTGGAAGTGGTGTGGGGCACACTTCTCAGAAAAGTGGACTGTCTGGGATCTCATCTAGGGCCCTCTTTGCCAACTCTGTCCCTGCCCATCAGCTCTCTTCTACCGAAGCCACACTTTAGTGCCCACCTGAGGGCTAGCCCACTCCTTCACTCAGGGCTATGCTCCAGGGGCCCAGGTGGTGTCCTGGACTGTCCATGTCAAGGTGCACTGGGAGGTGACCACCATTACCTCTGCCCCCATCACATCATGGTCTTGCACATGGGGCTCAGCCAGGTGGGAAGGGATGGGAGAGATGATGTAGGTGCCCCAGGAAGAAGAGGCAGGGTTCTGTAACCCACCCACCCCCCAACTCTGGGCCCCAAGGGGCTGAACCAGCAGCAGCTGGGAGCAGGGCAGACAGGGTCATTGGCTGGGGTGTTTGAAGACCTGCAGCCCATACTTTTCGTGGGTTCTAATCTCAGCTCCGCCCTGGTCTGCGTCCCCCATCTGCACAGTGAGGAATTTGGGGAACAAGTGCCAAGGGCCCTCTCAGTTGTTGTTTCTGAATCCCCCATGTCCTGGAAGCTGGGAGGTGGGCACTTTAGATGCCAGTTCCACCACCCCTGGCAGCAGAGTGTCTGAGAAAAGTAGGCAGTGGGCACTGAAGCTGCCAGCCAGGCAGGAGGGCTCCATAGGGGTCTCCATCAGCGATATCCCAGCCAGGTAGACCATCCACACTGGGCAGGGCTTTAAGCTAGAATGGACAATAGTTAGGACATGGACTACTCGTGTTCATACTCAGCTTCTCTCCCGGTCTGGGTGCCCTCACATTCTCCATATGTGTAAGAGGAGGATTCTGCGAGTTGACACAGTGGTGACCAGAAGGCCAGTCTTGACTATCCAGATCTCTAGCAGGACCCAGTGAGGCCAGACACCCCCAGCAGCCCCTGCCCTCACCGACCCCTCCAAGCATGAAGGTGGGAGGAGTCCAAAAGGGTGACCAGCCCTAAAGCTTTCTTCCTCAGCCCTGAACCCTATACTTGGCCCCAACAACTAGCTAGGGGACCAAAAGCTTTTATGAGCACTGTTCCATCAGCCCGCCTGCTGTCCCAGTGCAAGTTCCGTTCTCAGAACTCAGCTCCTCCAGCCTGGGTGGGGACATCTGTCCTGCCTGGGACCACCCCACCCCCCTCAAACAATCCCCAGATACTGCCTGTCATATCCTGTCCTCACTCCACGGCACACAGCCACCACCAGCACCCCACACCACCCCCTCTGGAGTCCTGTGTGTGGAGCTGTTGATTAATGCACTGAACTGCAAAATCGGTTTGAACCACAAGGTTGGAGATTCAAGCTCACCAGCCGCTCCTTAGAAACCCTACACAGGGTCACTCCGGGTCAGAACCAATTCGGTGGCACTTAACAATAATAACCCTACAACCCCAGAGGCTGACCCCAGCTGCACCAAACTCCCCTGGACCACCTGGCTCTGGACTAGGGCTGGGGGTGCAGTGAGAGAAGGTTTGAAGGGGTTCGTGCAGGGACCCTGGGCTCAGTCTCTGAATGGTTCTCCCAGTCTCGCCCACCCCAGCAGGCAGAAGTCAGAGAGAAGCAGCAGACCAGGGGTTTGTAAACAGTCATGTTGTGGTACATCAGCCCTGATGAGGAACCCTCAGTAGTTGCATGACCCTTGGCCTGGGGCTGGAAGAATCTGAGGGTCCCTTGGGATTGCACTAAGCAAGGTGGGAGGGGATGTTGAGGTGGACAAGGTGGCCACAGCACAGCCTTAAACGCAGAGAACCCCCAGGGGCTGTGCCCCCAGCTCAGGTTGGAGGAGTAGTTTCTGTGCTGGGGGTGGGGGAGTCAGGTCCGGCACCACCCCAGCACACACACATGTGTCCAGTAGGATGACCAACTCCAAGATGATAAGGAGGCTGTTCTCCCCTCCCAGACAGCAGGACCCTTACCCACTGGTGCCCCACTGTTATGCCCTGTACTCCCCAACCCTCAGGTCCACATTCTTGGGGTCTGGGCCCCTCCCTCAGGCTTCTGGCTGTGCCTTTATTGACACAATCAGACATGTGTTTGCCTTTGAAGGATTACTGCCCTCTGTCCTGAGAGTCAGATGGCCAGCTTCCTGCAGCTGCTTGGGGACCTAGAGGTCAGAAGAGATGACCACATGGGCCCCCCACACACATTCCATTCAGGTCTCCAGAGACAGGTGGGCAGGGAGGTACCACAGGCACCTCCCAGAGGCCTGGGGACATAAGGTTCACTGGGCAGCCACACCGATGGTCGCGTGTACCGCTGAGCACACTCTGGACAATGGCTCAGCTGCCAGTGGCAATGGCCCGGCTGTTGGCCGCCCAGCCTAGATGTTGGGGTCTTCGTTGCTGCACTCGACGCCAGCGTCCTCCTGGTGGCCGCAGTTGTGTTTGCCCACGCCGGCATGTGAGCACTCCAGTAGGTTGCGCTCGCCGCCAGCACAGCGCACATCGTCCAGCAGGATGGGCAGCGTCCTGCCCTCGCCGAACTCAGCTCGCTTTACCGCACGCACAGCATGCGCAAAGCCCAGCTGACGGCACACCACGGTAGCTGCCTTGGAGTCCCAAGCATCGTCGCACACCGTGCCCCAGCGTCCGCCCACAAACACCTCCACACGCCCGCTGCCCGCGCGCAGGCCCGCAGGCCTCACCAAGCGCACGGCTCCCTTCAGGGGCGTGGGACTCTCCACGCTCGGCCGCCCCCGCCGCCTCCCGCCGTCCCTCCGACCCCCGGACCGCCGCGTGGGCCGGGCCGGCCGTGGTGTGGGTGCAGGCGCGGCTGCCGTGGGGCGATTCCGACGGGGTGCCTTGGTGGGCGTGCGCACTGTAGGCCGTGGGGTGCTCTTGGTCCTCTGGATGAATTCTGTAGAGGAGAGCCTGTGATTAGAGGGGTCCAGGTCTCCCCAGCCTACCCCATCTCCCCCTAAACTGTCTCCCCACACCAGCCCCACAACGGCCGCCTTCTTAGACCCAAGGAAAAATACCCTTAGGATCCCGAGGATGTTGGCCTGCAGCTGAATTTAGGAGCTCCTTTACCCGTTAAACATTTTCTGATAGCTCTCTGTGCGAGTCTTCCCGCAACTGGGTGGCTCAAGCCTATGGTTTAAAGGGTGAGGAACTGAGTTCCCCAGATGGTAACACTTGCTGAAAGGTGGGAAATAGACCCACTCATGGCATCCTTGGCCTGAGTGACACCCTCCCTTCCACCCACTCCACCTCACTGTGGCTGATGGGAGCTCTCCTGGTGTCCCTGGGATAAAGCTCTCCTGGCTGTGGCTCATACTACCTGGTGTCCCTGGGATAAAGTTGGGCAGGACCACAGTGGGCATTTCTCTTTGTCCCTGCAGGATGTGGCCTTCACGCCTGGCCAGCTCAACCACCTAGGTGAACTTCACTGCACCTCAGACACCCAGCTCTGCCCATTCCCATCCCATACAGGTGAGGGGCCAGAAGGACCTGAGAACTGTTCTGTGGAAGAAGCCTCAGAGGAGTGTTGAGGGGTACTTGAACCCCAGAATAACTGTGGGTAGAGGACCAGAGGCCCACCAGTCCAAACCCTCTTAATAGCCCCAACCCCAATCAGCCTTGAAGATGGTGTTGAATGGGCTTGATAGCAGGCAGAGGCAGGAGGAGGGAGCAGCGTATCGGGGCCAGGACATATCCTGCCCTGGCGCACGGTGAATCCTTTTCTCTTCAGGTTCAACTTGCTCTAGGGAGCCTTCACCCTGTCCCTCACCCTGAGGCCCTGCACTGTTCCATGCTCCCACAGCACCCACACACACTTCTGTCATGGAGCTGGGAACACGAAATGACTTTCCTATAATAGCCAAAACAAGACTTGATGTGGTTTTCCCTTGTGGCCACAGCAAAGAGCTGGCAACTAACCAAAGTGCCAGAAACCGTGGAATGAGTGAATGGAAAACTTGCTAAGCCCCGAAGCTGACTGAAGACAAAATTCACTTCCAAGACATTGAGCTCGTCCCTACCCCTGCTTTTCTTTTCCTTGACATGTCTTCCTCGTGGCGGAGCAACTCCACCAGCCCAGGTGCCCAGCCTCCCACCACATCCCGCCCCCTTACGAAGTCCACTAACTTGGGACATGGTATGCCTACTTGGCCTAAAGGGTGGTGGCTGAAATGCTCAATTAGTTGCCAACATTTTCAGATCGAGAGATTTGTACATAACAGCTGGAGAAAGCAGGGATTCCACCTGCCTATTGTGTCCCAGGTATGCACCACCTGGTGGTGGATGGATGTAGCAGCGGCAGGATGTGTGTGAGGCCCACTCTGAGGCCGTTCTCAGATTAAGGGACACCTTGAGGACACCAGTGAGAGAAACCTTGCTGGCCAAAGATTCTGGGAAAGGACACACTAACCTCAGAGCTTGGGAGCAGGGACTATAACCAGAAACAAGAATCACTATGTTCTTGATTTGTAAATCTGAACATGATTGAATTGACTTTGCGATCTAAAGGTTATTGTGTTAATCATTAACTTTTGATGCATATGCTGCCTGGAAATGCTTCCTGCTGAGAAATATACTTAAAGCTGTAGTGTAGATAATAAAGTTACTCTTGACTGACCAGCTTGAGTCCCCGGCCACTTTCATTCTCAGTCTGTCCCCCCACCCCCCACCCCCCGAAGACCCATTTGTGCAGGGCTAGTTTCAGCAGATGGATGTATAGATAGATGGATGGATGCATGTGTGGATGGATGAATGGGTGGGTAAAGTGGATGGGTGGGTGAGTGGATGGGTGAATGGATGAATGGATGGGTGGGTGAATGGATGGGTGGGTGAATGGATGGGGTTCTTGCTTAACAACTGGGAGCTCTGGCACACTAATGTTTGTATCCTGGTGACACAGTGGGTTAAGTATTCGGCTGCTAACAAAGGTTTGGTTGGTTGGTTGGTTATGTGCTGTGGAGTCGGTTCCGACTCATAGCGACCCTGTACAGCATTTCTGAGGCTATAAATCTTTACAGGAGCAAAAAGCCTCATCTTTCTCCCGTGGAACAGCTGGTAGTTTTGAACTGCTGACCTTGCGGTTTGCAGCCCGATTCGTAACCACTACGCTACCAGAGCTCCTAACAGAAAGGTTGGGGGTTTGGAAAATATGCAGTCTGCTTCCATAAAGACTGATAGCCTTGGACACCCTCTGGAATAGTCATGCTCTCTCCTATGTAGTCACTTTGATAGCAGTGAATGAGTGACAACCCGGCTGTGTCCACTAGAGTGACCTCTCTCCTTGGACACACTCTTTCTGGTTGCCTTAGGCCCCCTGTTGTGTTGTTCCTGTTAGGTGCCGTTGAGTCGGTACCAACTCATAACAATCCAATGCACAACAGGAAGAAACACTGGCCAGTCCTACAGCAACCTCACAATCATTGTTATGCCTGAACCCATTGCTGCTGTCACTATGCCAGTCCATCTCATGGGGGGTCTTCCTCTTTTTTGTTGACCCTGTCACTTTACCAAGCAGGATGTCCTTCTCCAGGGACTGGATCCTACTGATAATACATCCAAAATATGAGAAATGAAGTCTGGCCATCCTGGCTTCTAAGAAGCACTCTGGCTGTAATCTTTCAACACAGACTTGCCAGGCACCCTGGGCAGCCATTTTCGGTCTTGCTGGCACTCAGGCCATGAGGGTTTATACCCCTCCCCAAGTTTGTCAAAACAGAACCATTTCAAGGCCTCTTCTGCCAAGGACCCCCGAACCTAGAACACTTTGAAGTCTTCCGTGTCCCTAACACTGAAGTCTTTCCCTATTGGTAGAGCAGGAATGGGAGCCCAGGTTCCCATCCCCAGCCTGGACCCTGACTGCTACAAAGGCCGCTTCCCAGCCCCCATTCCCGCATTCCCAAGGTCTCCGAAGGTTCCTGGACAAGGTACTCAATTCTCCTTCCCTCCTTCTGACCTCCTTCTTCCTACACCATCTCTTTCCCCACCTGGCTATGACCCTCCTGAGCCTCCCACCTCATTGAGACCCGGGAGAGTAGTCAGAGGTTGTAGCCTTGTGGCGGTCCGCTGTTCCTCCCTCATTGACTCAGTGTCTACTGTGTCTACTGTGTATCCGCACACGGAAGGAGGGCCAACCAGAGGAACCCCATCTGGCGGGAGGAAGGGCAAGCTGGGGCGTGGTTGGGAGAGGGCATGGCTGAAGGGAGGGCGTGGCTGGAGGGGCTTCCCTCCCTGACAGCATCACACACACCTTCCTGTCCCCCCACCCCACCCCACCCCCGACCCCACAATGAGCACCTACTTTCTTTAGGCACGAATCGGATGAGGCTGCTCTTCACCTTGACCTGAGCAGGCTGAATCTGACATTTGCCCGGCGGTGCCCGTCTGTAGACACAAAGAGGCCATGAGTCCCGGCCCCGATTCTGTCCTGGGGCATCTCTGGGGCCAGGGAGGTAAAGGGCCCAATGTGCAGTCAGGTAACCCCGACACCGGAGCGGCCCTTTAAGGAGCAACTGTTGGACCACCTGCAGCACCCCTGCCAGCTCCATGCCCCCCGGTTTCTAGGATCCCCAAGCCCAGGGCAGGCACCTCAGCTGACGGCCTAGAGCAGGGGCCTTCCTGAACCACATAGCCTTTAGGGGGTCAACTCTGTCTTATGGATGGGATAAAACGTCATCTCTCCTCCCCTGACCCAGCCTGGCACACAGAGTCCTTCAACTGCAGCCAGATTCCTGCCCCCTACCCAGTCCCAACCCCCATGGCTTGGGGGAAGAGTCTCTTCGGTGCCCCTCCACCCCCCACCTCCCTTTCTGAATTTCTTTCTTCTGATGTAATCTGAGCAGTTCCCTGTCTGAAGAACCTGGGAGATTTAAGTCAAGCTAAAGAATAAAGCGGGGGATGGGGGGGGGGGGGCTCAGGACTGGAGTAAAGGGAAGGATGGGGGTCCTAGAGGGAGGGGTTTGAAAGAGAAAAGAGTGTAAGAAGGTTTCCGGGACAACAGACTGGGTCTCCTTTAGCATCTTGGAGGAGTGCAAGTAATGAATGGAATTCCATTTTAATTAGCTCTTGGCTGTCACTGTGAGTTTCTTTGAATGTGACCTTATTCTAGGCCCAACTCCACTGTGGGTCCAAGGCACCAACAGGGCCCCCCTCAGCACCAAGAAAACCAAAACACTGGAAACCCCATGTGTGCAGAGGAACTGTGCTCCACAGGGTTTGGAAGGCTGGAATCTTTCTGAAGCCAACTACCATGGTACTTCTGTCGTTGTTAAATGCCGTCAAGTCGGTTCCAACACACGGCGACCCTGTATAGGGTTTCCGAGGAGCAGCTGATGAGCTTGAACCACTGACCTTGTGGTTCCAACCGACTTTGTAGTCCAGCGCATTAACCCACAGCGCCACACCAGAACTCCTATGTATGTGAGATGATTAAAAATACTGTGGTTTGCCTCCTTGCTCCTCAAATTGACAACTTTGCTTTTTAACATTTTAAAGAGGTCTTTTGTAGAAGATTTGTCTAATGCACTACAATATTTAATTTCTTTACTGCTATTTTCATGGGCATTAATTGTGAATCCAAGTAAAATGAAATCCTTTGCAACTTGAATCTTTTCTCCTTTTATAACGATGCTGTTTATTGGTCCAGTGGTGAGGATTTTTGTTTTCTTTACATGGAATTACAATCCATACTGATTATAGTCTTTGATATTCAACAGAAATGCAAGTCTTCATGGCTTTTGCCAACCAAGGTTGTGTCATCTGCATATTGCAGGTTGTTAATGAGTCTTCCTTCAATCCTGATACCCAACTTCTTGGGTTATGTGCTCAGCATACAGATGGAATTAGTATAGTGAAAGCATATGACCTTGACCCACACGGTTGCTGATTTTAAACCATTCGGTATCCCCTTATTCTGTTCAAATGACTGTCTCTTGGTCTGTGTATAGGTTCCTCATGAGCACAGTTAAGTGTTCTGGAATTTTCATTCGTCATAATGTTGCCCATAGTTTGTTATGAGACACACAGTAGAAAGTCTTTGCGTAGTCAGTAAAACATCTTTCCAGTATTCTCTACTTTCAGTCAAAACTCATCCGACGTCAGCAATGATAGCCCTTGTTCAGCGTCCCCTTCTGTATGCAGCTTGAATTTCTGGAAGCTCCCAGTCAATGTACTGTTGTAACCACTTTTGAATGATCTTCAGCAAAATTGTACTTGTACGTGATATTAATGATATTGTAAGATAACTGCCATTTTCTGTTGGTCACATGTCTTTGGAATGGGCACAAATATGAATCTCTTCCAGTTGGTTGGCCAGGCAGCTGTCATCCAAATTTCTTGGCATACACAAGTGAGTGCTTCTAGAAATCTCATTGAGGGTCTTCCTCCTTTTTGTTCACTTTACCAAGGTGATGTGCTTCTCCAAGAACTGGTTCCTCCTGATAGCATGTCCAAGGTCCAGGAGATGAAATCTCACCATCTTTGCTTCACTTCTAAGGAGCATTCTGGCTCTACTTTGTCCAGATTTTGATATATGAAATATTCTTCTCCAATACCACAGTTCAAATCCATCAATTCTTCTTCAATTTTCTTCATTGATTATCCAGCTTTTGCATGCATATGAGACGATTGAAAATATTTTGGATCAGGTGCACCTTAGTCTTCAAGATGTTTGCTATATAATACTTTCAAAGAAGTCTTTTGCAGCAGATTTGCTGCAAAAGAAATCATTTGATTTCTTAATTGCCATTTCCATGAGTGTTATGAATCCAACTTCAATCCTTCCATGACATTGTTTATAGGAGAGACATCCCAGAATGCCTAGTGGTCATGTTTGGGTAGTCATGATCATCCCGCCTCTCTTGATGCCTTTGTTTCCCAAACACTCTCTACCGGGACCAGGTATGATTGAACTGTGTCCCCCCAAATATGTACTGACACCCTAACTCCTATGCCTATAAATAAGGAGCCCTGGTGGTACTGTGGGTTAGGCGTTGGGCTGCTAACCCCAAGGTCAGCAGTTCAAACCCACTAGCTGCTCCGGGGGAGAAAGATGAGGCTGTCTGCTTCTGTAAAGACTTACAGTCTCAGATATCCTATATACAGTCACTATGAGTTTAGTTTGGGGTTTGCTACTTGTAAGCATGATTGTTTGGAAATGATGTTTTCTTTTATTGTTTTAATGAGGCCCTAACCAAGTGAGGTGGGTGGTCTATAACTAGTCACTTCTGAGTGATAAAAAAGAATGGAATAGACAGAGACACATGAGGGAGAAGACAGGCACCAGGGAACATCATGGACAATCCTGACACTTGAAACTTGGAGCTCGAGGCTCACGGAAGGAATCAACCTGGTTAACACCCTAGTTTGGACTTCTAGCCTCCAGAACTGGGAAGAACTCTGTTCCTTATAGCCTTGCATATATGATGTTTCTGTTACAGCTACACTAGACATATAGGGTTTTGTGTCAACTTGACTAGGCTAGGGTTTCCAGAGATTTAGCAGCTGAGATGTGCTTATTCCCTTGGTGATGAAACCTAATACAGATATAGTTAACCCTATGCTGAGTGGCCATGAGCAGCCAATCAATTAAAGGGATGCTTCCTTGGGGGTGTGGCCTGTTCCCAATATAATGGACATAGGGAAGGACTCTCTCTCTCTCTCTCTTCTGCTGGGGACCTGGCACTCTACAATTGTAAGCCACTTCCTTGATAAGCTTCTCTTTTTATATGTATAGCAATGTTAAGAAAACAAAAATCCTCACCACTGGACCAATAAACAACATTCTTGTCAACGGAGAAAAGATTGAAGTTGTCAAGGACTTCATTCTTCTTGGATCAACTATCAACACTCACGGAAGCAGCAGTCAAGAGATCAGATGACGTATTGCATTGGGCAAATCTGCTGCACAGGAACTTTTTAAAAGTATTGAAGAGCAGAGATGTCAGCTTGAGGACTAAGGTGCGCCTGACCCAAGCCATGGTATTTTCAATAACCTCATATGGATGCAAAAGCTGGACAGTGAATAAGGAAGATCGTAGAAGAATTGATGCCTTTGAGTTGTGGTGTTGGAGGAGAATACTAAAAGTGCCATGGACTGCCAAAAGAACCAATAGATCTGTTTTGGAAGAAGTGCAGCCAGAGTTCTCCTTAGAGGTCAAGATGGCCAAACTTCATCTCTCATACTTTAGACATATTGTCCAGAGGAACCAGTCGCTGGAGAAGGATATCATGCTTGGTAAGATGGAGGGTCAGAGAAAAAGAGGAAGACCCCCAACGAGATGGATTGGCCAGGTGGCATCATTGATGGACTCAAGTGTGGCAGCTGTAGTGAGGTTGACCCAGGATCGGACATTGTTTCGTTCTGCTGTGCATGGGGTCGCTATGAGTCGGTTCCGACTCGATGGCACCTGACAACAACAATGTTTCACTGGTCTTACTTCTTTAGAAAAACCTGGCCTAAGACACTAGGATGTAAGACAGGACCTCTATGCCGTATTTCTTTCACAAGAGGACAACGAAAAGGAGACAGGAAGTGGTTAGCCTATGTCTGGCTCTTCCTAACCATGAGCTGGAGCTGAGCATCCTTCTTGGAGTCCCCCTGTAACTTGGGATAATAAACAAGGGGGGAAAGGGGTTGAGCTATGGAATCCCATTGTGGCTGTAAGGCAGCATCTGGAATGAATTAGGGGCTCAATCTCTGTGCTGTTCCCTTAGAGAAGCACACTTTTTTTTTTTTTTTTTTTTTAAAGAAAACTGGAAATAACCTAAATGTTGAAAACATGGATGAGACAGTTTGGGTACAATGACTCAGCAGAAAATCATGCAGTGATTAAAAATGAGCCTTCCCAGGGTGATGTTGCAATGTGGAAATGCTGATACGAAACAGGGATAAATGAATGGAGAAGAATGCATTAATTAGGATTCCACATACATCCTGGCATGACTGCAGATCAAGAGGGATGGGCCGCCAGGAAATGAACAATTCTAAGGAGGAAGAAGAGCTTGCATTTTTCTCAAGGGAAAAAGCTATGCCAATAAAAAATATACTTGTGCTTTAAAAATAAAAGTATAGTAAACCAGGGAAGTCTGAGGAAGCATGACAGATCTGGGGAGGCCAAGGAGACATGGCAACAGATGTAACATGTCCTGGATGGGATTCTGGGACAGGAAAAGGAAGTTAGAGAAAAAGTCATGAGATCGTTATAACATGAGCAATATGCAATTCAATTAATAGTAAAAAGAAGAAGAAGACGAAGTTGTCTTCAAGCTAATTCCAACTCATGGCAACCCCGTATGTATCAGGGTAGAACTGTGTTCCCTAGGGCTTTCAGTGACTGATGGCCAGGCCTGTCTTCCAAAGTACCTCTGAGTAGACTCGAACCATCAACTTTTGGTTAGTAGTTGAGCACTTAAGTGTTTGTACCTCCCCAAACCAAAACATCAAATACAAATCCACCACCACCAAGTTGATTCTGACTCATAGCAACCCTATACAGGGTTTCCTATACAGGGTTTCCTATATAGGGTTTCCTATATAGGGTTTATGAGAGCAGATGGGCCCCTTTTTCTTCTGCGAGTGGCTGGTGGTTTGAACCACAGACCTTTCAGTTAACAGCCCCACACCTAATCCACAGTGCCACTAGGGTTCCTTAATGAATAATAATGCACAGAAATTAGTTCATTCAAGGAGAGAAATGGACCATTATCAGGAAAGACCAATCGATAGAAAGAGGATGCCATGCTTTGTAAAGCAGAGGGTCAGTGAAAATGGGGGACACTTTGGATGAGATGGACTGGTACAGTGGCCCCAACAGTGGGTTCAAACATGCCAGAAGACGGCACAGGACCAGGTCTGAATTAACTAATAACACGAAGATGTATGATGGTAACATTAGGGGAAACTGGGTGAAGGCTTTATGTGAGCACTCTGGACTCTCTTTGTACCCTGTGTGCAAATCAAACACTATTCCAACCAATTCAAAATATTTTTAAGTGGGTTGATACGGATTAAATTGTGTCCCACCCAAAATATGTGTCACCTTGGCTAGGCAGTAGTTCTCAATATTATGTATTTAGTCTACATCTTATGATCTGATGTAACTATCCCATGGGTTGTAAATCTTAACTCTAGATGTTAAAGCAGCAAAACTAGAGACAGGTATGCTAATGAGGCAGGTATACAATCTACAGGATTAGGTTCTATTTTGAGTCAATCTCAGCTGAGATACGTTGTTGTTAAGTGCCTTTGAGTTGGTTGTAACTCCTAGTGACCCTGTATAGAGTTTCCTAGGAGGGGCTGGTGTGTTTGAACCACCGACTCTGGGGTTTAAACCGACCTTGTAGTCCAGTGCTTACCTTACAGAGCTACACCAGCACTCCAGTTGAGATATAAAAGGGAGTAAACAAGAGAGCAGAAATCAGAGGGACCTATTACCACCAAAAAAGCAGAGCCAAGAGCAAAGTTTGTCCTTTGGACCTGGGGTCCCTGTGCTGAGAACCTCTTAGACCCAAGGGAAAACGGACACCTAGATGCATGGAGATCTCCAAGGACCACTGGGCCCACAGATGCTGAAAGGACACAAGGACCTTCCTCTTAAACCACGAGCCACCAGAGGAAGAGAAAGCCTTCCCCTAGAGTCTGCGTTCTGACTTCAGACTTGTAGCCTTCTAAACTATGAGATTCTCTATTTCTGTTTGTTAAAACCACCCCCTTGTGATATTTGTACTAAGACAGGGATGATAGGTGCCATCTAATTTTTTTTTTAATCTAATATATCTCAAGGTTCAGGTGCCACCTGTGTTAAGAGTTCTCCTGGAGTCTCCACACAGGAAGAGTCTTTGGGCTACAGGTATAAGTGAGCGTTGCCAGGCAACCAGCCCATGGTGCTGATGGATATGCTGAGAAGCAAAAGTGTAACAGCTCAGAGGGAGCTAAAGAAAGATGAGTGATTCATTCATTCATGCCTTCTGGCAAAATCATTTTGATTGTCTTGGAATCCACATTTCTGGATTCACGGAATTGGGTGACCCATCCAGGCCATCTGCCCCAAGGTGGCCATTTGAACCTTGAAGTAACTGGTCCCAGGAGTCACCTTGGATCAAACAATAGGCTAGCAGGCAGCTTAGGGAGACCATTAGGGCTCCAGCATTGGGTTCTTTTGGAAAATGATCACTGTGCAGCCAATATTGAGAAGTGAGGAACTCCAAGGTCTGAAGAGAAGCTGTTTTAGGAGGGCCCGTTCTTGGTGATTCTGGTTCTATAATACACAGGCCATGAAACCCTGCCCTGTACTTGGATGCTATCTCCTGATAAATTAACATAAAAATGACTATGCAACTTGATTTCACTGCCCCCTTTTCAAAGTGCCTTCTAAATCCAGGTTGACACCACCAGATCGAGTCGTATCTACTCACAATAAATATGTCCAGTGACACTCATTTTTGGTGTTTCTCTAAGCATTTAGGTTCCCACACTAGTCATTCATCAAGCTTTCCTAAGTCCCTGCTCCATCCACATCACTTCTGGTGCTGCCTGGGGTCTGCAGGAATGGGCAGACACAGGGAGAGAGGAAGCTGTGTGCAGCTCCAAGATTACAATCCTGGCAATGAATGCTGTGGGTGGGAGGCAAGGAAAGCGGATCAGGGAAGGCTACTGGGGGGCTGTGGAGGAGGAGGAAGGGGCTGGGACCTGGGCACACAACATCCCTCTCTGCACTTGCTGCTGCTTCTGCTGGGAAGTGAAGGAAGGAACTAGGGGAGCACCTGGAACTTACTAGACGTGAGGCAGGTCTAGGAGGGATCTGGAGGACAGAGCAGGTCCTAGCTGAGAGGACAGGAACACATGGGAAGAGCAGCTCAGGGTTGGGGTGCACCTGGGAGGCAGGTGGGGGTGAGGAGAAATGCTTCAGGGAAGGGGTGGGCCCAGGAAGTGAGTGTGGGGCCCACCAGAGAGGGAGGCAGGACACGGAGGAGGTGGGGTTAAGCCTGAGTTAACCCAGGACCGCCAGAAGAATCTATGAAGCCATCCGTATTCGCTGCGCCTTCTCACAGGGATAGGGCGCCACTCAGAAGCAGGAAGACCCAGCTTTAGGGTGGGATCAGCCCCTCACCAGAGGAGTGAGCTTGGCTAGTCATTTCCCTCTCTGCACCTCAGTTCTCTCATCTGAAAAGCGGGGGAGCATGAGTAAGAACCACCTTCCTGAGTAAAAAGAGGGGAAAAGAGATCATGCAGGTGAGCTCCCGGCTGACGCACCTGGAGGGGTCGACCACTTTATAGACGACTCCGTGTGCAGCTGTTGCACTTGGCACCCCCGTGGACATGAAGTACAGCTCCCCTGGGGACAAGAAATGAAGACCGCTCTGTGAGTTGGAACGCTACCCACAGCCCTATTCCGGTTCTCATGCTGACCACAAAACCTTAACCAGCCCTGAGGGGAAACTTCTGGGTCCTAACTGGACACGAGGCTGAGAAATGTGCCCCAGGCTTTCTGCCAGTCCATCCTCCTGGACGCTCCAACCCAGTCCCTTGCTTCCTTTCTGGTGACCCAGCCCCACCCCACCTGCCTGTCTTGGGGTCACACCCCGTCCCTTGTACCTCTGGGCACAGGTAAGGGTCCTCAGCCCAGCTCCCCCTGCTTAAATTACTGAATTTCCACTGGCCAGGGTGCCTCTCTGAGTTCTGCTCCCTCGTCTTTAAAATGGGTCCCTGACAGGACAACCACCAGGACTAAGAGAGCACACATGTGTTGGGTATTGTCAGTGTTGGCGTTACCACTGCCACCTGGGATGAGAGACCTGTGAGCCCTCCTCCAGGGTCTCTCTCCATGGACCTTAGCAGGTACCTGCCAGGTGGGCAGCAAAGGTAAAAAGGAACATGGCCCAGGGGACTCCAGCAGCTCTGGGCCCCACTCCTGCCTCAGTTTCCCATCTCCTGGGGCTGTTGGAACAGGCAGGGAGCAGACCTGTGAGTGTTTGGTGCTCAGGAGGTGCTTGGAAAACAGTGGCTCCCCCTGCTCAGCCCACCTCCCATCACTGGGGAAACTGGCCCCATTGTGCCCATTTCACAGATGAGACAATAGAGGTTGACAGGTCCAGTGACTTGTCCAGAATCACACAGCTGGCGCCAGGAACTCAAGGAAGTCTGACCTGACCCCACACATATGTAGGACACATGGGACTCAATGTGCTCATTCTGCTAAAACATCTACTTTTGTAAGGGCTCTCCCAGGGCTGGGGCAGGGGTGCTCCCAGGGAGAAGCTGAGGTAGGTGGTGAAGCAAGGCAGGCGCTAGACAGGTGCAGTCAGGGAGAGCTGCATGGGGGTGGGGGCTGAAAGCACATTCTGGGAAACCCCATACATGAGGGCTGAGGGGCTAAGGAGGGCAGGAAGCACCAGTCCTGGCTGGGCCGGGGTGGGGGTGCGGGAGGAAGGCCTAAAGAGGGGAGCCTGTCTGGTGACCTTGCAGCCTGCCGGAATGGGGGGCAGCAGGGGGATGTCTGGTGACCAAGAAACCTGCAGAGGGTGGGGGTGGTAGTTGGGGCTGGTCTGCCTGATGACCACACAGCCTTCAGGAGGTGGGAGCAGCAGGGTACACTGACAAGACAATCCACAGGCAGGACCGCAGATTTGCTGAGAGGCCTCAGGCTGGCCTCGCCCCTCTCTGGGCCTTTTTTGGGAGAGCTTCTGCCTCCTCTCCAGCCCCCATGATGGGCCCAAGCTGCCCCTGGAGGCCTCTCCTGTATCCATCTGACCTCAAGCTTCCTGCTTTGCCCTGGAGGCTGTTTCTCTAAAATTGGGAGTGAATAGGGATGTGCCCTCCCTCCCTGAGGCTACTCCACTGGAGCCAAGCCCAGTAGTTCCCTCAACACCCCCACCACCTGGCAGGGGGCCATGCCTCACTGCCCAGCCCCTTCATGGTCTCTGCAGCATGGCTGTCCTTGAAGGATGCTGGGCCCAGGGACCCTTCTTGGCAGTTTGCAGGTGTTGGAACTCGGAGAGGCAGGAGCTGGGAATGGTACGGAGTGCACTGGTCACTGCTGACCTGGCCTCCAGAGGTGATGCACAGTGTCCAGCCCTTATTGCCACTCAGCAGTCTGAAGCCCTCAGGAACTGCAGCTTGTGGCCCTGGATGGGGGTGGGGTACCACCTCCCTACCAGACATATTAACCCCCTACTGACCAACAGAAAGAGCTTCCAGGAGCCCCTTGGCCCTTGGGGATGCCCTTTGATTCTGATGGATGTCTGCCTCTCAATGCTTTCCCAGACTCAGGCTGGGACTCTGGGCACAGAGCCCTGCAGGAGACACCCCGCCAAAGCCCCCCACCACAAGGATGTCCCGTTCCCTAGCAACCCTGCCAAGTACCCACCAGGGCCTGCTGGGGGCCCCTCGGCTTTTGTGTAGGGACAATTCCCAGGGCAAGGACAAAGGCTGGGAGGGGATTGAGCCTCCTAGCCCGGCTTCCTCTCCCCTCCCCCTCCACTTATTGCAAATACAAGTAGCCCGAATGAGGGACCTAAGGCAAGAAGGCTTGCTTTTAAATGACAGTGTGACTTCCTTTTGGGGGGCCCAATACATTTGACACAAAGAACCTGGGGCAGTGGAGGACGCTGGGAGGACACCTGAGACTCTTTTTCCCCAACTGCTTGTCGGCCAGCATCTCCACCATTACAGAGCAGTCCTCCAAGTAATCCTGCCCAGGACATGGGGGATAGAGGAGAGGGAAGAAGGGGGATTTGGGAGACACATATTCCCATTTTCTAGATGAGGAAAGGGGCACCCAGAGAGAGGTTAGATCCTGCCCACAGATGCACAGGTGGCCAAGCAAGAACTGATCTAGAGAATGTTTCACTCCCTAGAGGTGAATGTCAGGCCTGAGACCTCAACCCTCAAGTCACAGGAAGAAGGACCCATGGGGTACCAGGTGTGGTGCAGAGAGGTGGCCCTCACTGAGACTCACCAGCCTCATCCTCTGCGAAGGAGATGATGTGGGGGTGGTAGTTGTTGATGAGGCCTGGGAAGGCACAGGTCTGGCCATGACCCATGCAGATCTCACTGTATTTCCACTGACCTGTGCCTGGGTTCTCCCGGAGGGACATCAGACGCCTACAAAAGAGGAAGAGCTGTGGGGTCATGACTGGCATTGTGCCCAGGGGAAGTCCATCCATCCATCCATCCATCAATCTATCCATCCATCCATCTATCCATCCACCCATCCACTCACCAATCTATGCATATATCCATCCACCCACCCACCCATTCACCTACTCATCCATCCATTCACCCACTCATCAATCTAACCATCCACCCACCCTCCCATCCATCCATCTACCCATCCACTCACCAATCCATCCATCCATCCATCCATCCATCCATCCATCCATCCATCCATCCATCCACTCACCAATCCATCCATCCACTCACCAATCCATCCATCTATCCACATAGCCATCCATCCATCTACTCACCGTCTACCCAACCATGCAGAGACCCTCCCATCTATCTATCCATCCACTCACCCATCCATCTATCCATCCATAGATCTATCCATCCACCCATCCATCCATCTATGCACTTACTTATTTATCCAGCCTGCTAGCCACCAATACACCCATCTATATCCATCCAGCCAATCATCGATTATCTATTCAACTATCTGTTGTTAAATACAGTAGAGTTGGTTCCAACTCATAGCGACCCTGTGTAGAGCTTCCAAAGAGCACCTGGTGGGTTTGAATTGCCAACCTTGTGGTTAACTATTTAGTGCTTATTCTACAATGCCACACCAGGATTCCATTAAGCTGCCTAGCCATCCATTTATCCATCTATCCACCCAAGCATCCATCCTTTTATCCATTCATCCACCTACCCACCTATCCATCCATCCATCCATCTATCCATCCATCCATCCATCCATCCATCCATCCATCCAACTACTCACCTATCCATCCATCCATCCATTCATCCATGTAATCAGGACCATACATAATTTACAGGGTTTGGTGCAAAATAAACATGCAGCCTCAGTGTGGGGTCCTGTGGGTCAGAGCACAGGGTCACACATCTGTGAAGCTGGCCTTTCACTGAGCACATCCCAGGCACCAGAGGGACACAGGAGGGAACAAGGCTAGCTTGGGTCTTGCCTCTTCAGCTCAGTCCCAGACCACTGACTGCCTGGAATGCCTTTGAAGGAGCCAGGGCCCTGTTGGCATCTTTGTTGTTGTTCCAGTGTTTCCTGGTGTAGGAGAAGCACTGGGCTGCAAGGGCAGTTTGAACTACAAGACTGACAGTTCAAACCCACCAGCCACTCCTCAAAAACCCTTTATAGGGTCATGAGTTAGAACTGACTTGATGGCACGTAACAACAACAGTGTTTCTCATCATCATCAAGGGGGTTAGAGTAACATAATTTGGGGGAAGAGTAGGAATAAGGAATTAGGATTAGGGTCAAGTCTCTGGCTGATCTCTGATTTTGGCTGTTGGCCTGCAGAACTGTGTGAGAGCAAATGTCTTCTGTTTTAAGGCACCAAGTTTGTGATAATATTTTCTGGCAGTTTCAGGATATGGTGGCGATGCCATTGAGTCAGTTCTGACTCACAGAAACCCTGTATTGGGTTTCTGAGGCTGTAAATATTTACAAGAGCCGAAAGCCTCATCTTTCTCCAGGGGAGTAGCTGGTAGATTTGAACTGCTGACCTTGTGGTTAGCAGCCCAACTCATAACCCACTACGCTGCATGGGGTAAAATTAGAGTCTTGTTCTAGACCAGCTTTACAGATGGGAAAGCTGAGTCCCTTTGACAGAAGTGGATCTAGAAGAAGGATCTAATGTCCAGGCTCAGGTCAGTTTCACTCTTGGCTCCTGGCTGCAGGTGGACTGTCTACAAGCCAGTGGGGTCAACAATCTGCAGGACATAAGAATTCTCCCACCAGTCTCCAAAGTCCTCATGTTCCATCCTCAGGAATCCTGCTCAGCTGCCCTTGTGGAGAGAGACGAGACCCACGCTGTACTAAGCACACACTAGATTCTAATGCTGGAAGTGTCCTGAGTAATTAGGTCTCCAAACAACCGCGGGAGTTGGCCCCTCTCATCATCTCTATTTTTCAGGTGAGGAAAGTGAGGCACAAAGAAGAGAAACAAGTAGCCCAAGGTCACCCAGCTAGAAAGTGTGTCAGGATTCAAACTCAGGCCAGGGGAGCCTGCACTTGTAAACATTGTGCCGGGCATCAAGCTGGCACCGCCTGTCTGTCCTCAGTTTTATCCTCTGTACAATGGGAGAGCAAGGGGTTCAGAAACTCCAACAAGCTGCTCTGAGGAAAGAATCCCTCCCACCCCCGCCACTGATTTCTATCTCCCACCCCACTCCTGTTCATGGAATCTCTTAGGGTCCCTGTGGGTGGGGCAGTGCTGATGGAGACCATAGGAATCTGGCAGAGAGACCATGTAGGTCCCAGTGACCTTCCATGTAGCGCCCACCCACTCACCCACCAGCCACTTGCCTCCTGGCCTGTCTCCTGGCCTGGGCATGGGATCAGTGTTCTCTGTAGTTCTAATGACAACTACTTTTATTTTATTTAATTTTCCTTATAAATTCGTTTTGTTTTATTGTATTTCATTGCTTTAAAATTTCATGCCGCTTAATATTTTATTATTTCATTTAAGTTACTTTTCATTTTATGTTTAACTTTTTATAACAAAAAACTTTGTTTTATTTCATTCATGATGTTTTATTTTAGTATTTAACTTAGATTTTTTGGGAATTGTATGGTGTCATGGAGTCGGTTCCCAGTTTTAAGGAACTCATCAACATATACGGCTTCCAAGAAAAGCTGGTGAGTTTTAACTCATGAACTTCTGCTTAGCAGTCCAGTGCTTACCCTACAGCGCAACAGCAGGGCTCCTTAACATAGATTTATTTTCCTTTACTTAACTCTGGGTTTACTTCAGTTTCTTTTGTTGAAGTTAATTTCCAATTTATATATTTTGTGCAATGATATCTTTAATCTTGTTAGCATTTAAATTGATATGATTTTGTAGAGGGGGTTTGGGGGAGACTGTAATCCCCAGTCAGCTCCTGGCTGTCAAGGAAATTGCTCTTGTTCCCCCACCCCCACCTCTCCGGCCTGGTCCACCACCAAGCTCTCAGGAGGGAGCAGAGGGCCTGTGGGAGGTGCTTTCAGCAAGGTTCAGCCTCTAAACTGTGAACTGTGTCTTCAGGGTGTACTCTGGGCACCAGCAAGGGCTAGGAAGGAGGTCAGAAGAGAAATGGGGAGTCTGGGTGTTTCCCTGAGGGTCACACCTGCTGGCTGAATGCTGGAGAGCAGTCAGCATGTGCAGTGGGCCAGGGAGTCATGGTACAACTAGAAAATCTGGGCCCCACTCACCCACTCATGAAATCCCCGAAGATGTAGAGGCCGTTCAGGTTGGGGTACTCGCAGCCCCGGTACACATAGCCCCCAGTGACTGACTTGCCCATCTTGTGGGGGTAGGCGAAGATGGGCAGCACATCGTCTGCAGGGGAGAAGTTAGGATGACACGGGGATGCCAAGAAATGAGCCCTGCCCCACCGCCCCCAGTGACCAGGGCAAGGGTGGGGTGGGGAGGGTGTGAGGTCCTAAGGAGGGAGGGTCTTACAGCCTTGAAGGTGTGTGCCCAGGGGGGGTGGAGGAAGCGTGAGCTGGTAAGGGGTACCACGGAGCTGGAGAGGGTCAGAGCCAAGAGGAGTCCAGGATCCTCACTGGGGGATTCTGGGACCAGGGAGGACCCAGTGGAGTGAGGGGTCACCAAGGGAGGCGCTGGTGCACAACCCTTAGGGGTGTAGGGGGCAGATCTCAGACTGGGGGTGAATGAGGAGGGATGGAGCAGCGGGCACCCAGGAATGCACTGGGGGTGGAGAGGCGGATCTCAGATTAGGGGTGGTGGGGAGGGCCGGGCATCAGCCATCCTGGGGGGCACTGACACACAGCCCGTGGGGGTGGAGAGGTGGATCTCAGATTAGGGGTGGTGGGGAGGGCCGGGCATCAGCCATCCTGGGGGGCACTGACACACAGCCCGTGGGGGTGGAGAGGCGGATCTCAGATTGGGGGTGCCAGGGAAAATGCTGGCACACAGACTATGGGGTAGGGACTGGACAAGGGAAGGGGTGCGGGGGGGTGGTACGGGGGCAGCGGTCACCCAGGGAGGCGTTGGCACACAGCTTTCGGTCGTAGCACTCGAAACCCTCCCGTGCACGCCAGCCGTAGTTCCGGCCGCGTTCCACCAGGTCTACCTCCTCGAACTTGTTCTGGCCCACGTCACCGCAGAAGAGGCGCCCGCGGCCCGCGCCCGTCGCGGGATCGCCGCGATCAAAGGAGCAACGCCACATGTTGCGCACGCCCAGGGCATAGACCTCGGGCCGCGCGGCGGGGTCGTGGGCGAACGGGTTGTCTGGCGGGATGCGGTAAGGCCGGCCACGCTCTGAGCCCTCCACGTCGATGCGCAGCACCTTGCCCAGCAACGCCGACCTGCGGAGGGAGACAACACGCAAACTCGGGTATCGGTAGCCCAGAACCAGGCCTGCCCCGCAAGGGCAGAGGAACAGGAGCGCAGGGGGAACCTAGAACGTGAGGGGCCAGAGACACTGAAGTGGACACTCATCCGATGCTTACTAGCTGGATAACTTCATCCATCTATCCATCCTTCCACCCACCCACTCAGCATCCAGCATCTATTGGGCAGCTTCTTCGCTTCCTCACAACAAACAAACCTTTTAGGAAGGAGCCCTGGTGGCGCTGTAGAATAAGCTCTGCTAACCGTAACGTTGGCAGTTCAAACCTAGCAGCTGCTCTGAGGAAAAAGATGAGACTTACTAAAGTCTCAGAAACCCTGTAGGGGGTCCCTGTCAGTTAGAATCTACTTGATGGCAGGGGGTATGGGTTTGTAATTAATCACTCAGTTATGGACGTTGGTGGTTGGAACCTACCAGTCACTCTGCTGGAGAAATAACAGTCCGTTTCCATAGAGATTACAGTGTAGGAAACCCTATGGGGCAACAATTCTTCTCTATCCTACAAGGCTGCTATGAAACCTTTCCTAAGCCAAAATGGAGTAAGGCATGTAAGGAAGCTGTTGTTATGAAGTGCCGTGGAGTCAATTCTGACTCACAACAACCCTATATAGGGTTTTCAAGGAGCGGGCTTGTGAGCTTGAACTGCCGACCTTGAGGTCCAAACCGACTTTGCAGTCCAGCGCATTATCCTACAGCACCACACCAGGAATTATTGTAAATTTGTATGAGAAAAAATCGTTGGACATTCTCAGACCCAAAATCATACCAAATAACACATAAAACCTAAAAGCACATTAACATACGGTGTTCAGAGACATCACTCAGAACTATGGAGGGTTGATACTGAAATAGTGAGTACAGTTCCCAGGGAGGAGCTGCCCGGGGTGCAAGACTGCAGAATCAACGCTGAAAAACCCCTTCGGATTTCTCTCCGCTAATGAGCTATTTTAGTTCTTTTGTATTAAATGGAATGGTGTAAAGTTAACTTCTGAAAAACAGGGAACACTTGTATTCCCTTTGGGCTATTTTTCAAAGTAGGACTGGGGGTTTGTCCATTTGATGCAACTGTGTGCCTTGTCATTCTCACCTGGCACTAGGACCCCAGCGTTCCTGGTCACTGGAGACCCTCACAGGTGTCCTGTGTCATGGGGATACAGTGTCTCCACCCCGTAGATACATTAGCATTGAGCCTCTGCTGCTTTAACACCTTACTCAGACCTTCCTATCTGATCACTGCCAAGCTGCAGATGGCACCCAGGGACCCACCTGATGCACGCAGTTTTCATTCATGAGGAGCTACAACTCCTATCCACAAAATGGTGTTTTAACCTTCTGCCCAATTATCCATAAATTCTTAATTTCTATTTTCACCACCTCATCATTAAACACATTCCCAAACCCGAGAAAGTTGGGATGATTCTTACGCTGCCACATATGAAAGCAAAAGTCACAAACTGTAAGCCCTTTAATTACCATCACCAACATTAGACTTGCTATTTTTACTTTCTGGGCTGAGGGAATGGAGACAACTGCCTTGAGATGCTGAGTGTCTCTGTCTACACTCCGTGTGTATGTGTGTGTGTGTGTGTGTGTGTGTGTGTGTGTGCACGCGCACATGCGCGCAAGTGCGTGCACGTGGCTGAGATGACGGCAGACCATCTGTTCAAGCCAGAAACTGGGTCACTGAGAGCAAGATGGTGGGGAACACCTGGGGGAGAAAACACACGTGTCCATATGAGCCTTCCCCAAATGACTCACAGTCCCCTTCCTGTGACCCCAGCAGACTGGGCTGATGTCAGAGCAAAGACACACATCAAGCAGCTGGGAACCCCCCAGACTTGGTGCCAGATAATCTCTATCACCTTCACACCTCACAGCAAACTTCCCAGCGGACATTACTATTCTTCCCCTATAACTGGTCAGACAGGGAGAGAAATGAAGCTGTTAACCTGAGAACTTCAAAGGAGCAGTCCTCTGTCCTACAGTTTCCCTAGGCGTCAGAATTGACCCACTGGCAGTAGGTTTGGGTATTTGGGGTTTGAAGTGGTCAGAGGAAGTGAACTGCCTGCAGGCTGAGTGGGGATCCAAGCTTGCAAACCAAAGTCCTTTATTTGGCCCTACACTGCTTTGCTGGGCAGTAACTTCCCTTCAGTACCACAGACAAGGTTCAAGAGGGTATACGGCAATTCATCAAGCAACAAAAACAGAACGTACTTGTTTTGGGAATTTCCAAACTTTCCAAAGGGGTCTCCAGCCATCCCGCCATCCCCGGTAAAGATGTAGAGGTACCCGTCGTCCCCAAAGAGTAGCTGGCCGCCGTTATGGTTCGAAGCTGGTTCTTCGATTTCCAGGATTATCCTAAAGGAAGATATCATCCTTGTGAGCAGTCATCAAATTGGCCCCACTGTGCCGGCCCCTGCTGTCCAGCCCTGCACCATCCCTGTGAGCGGCTGTGGACCACTGCCATCTATAGAGGTCTTCTTCCTTCCTAGTCCATTTCAGTCTGCAAGCTCTGCTGAAGCCTGCTCACTGCAATCTGGCAACACGCAGCCTCCACCGAGAGACAGGTGATAGCTGTGTATGAGGTACACTGGCCAGGAATTGAATCCGGGTCTCCCGCATAACAAGCAAGAACTTTGCCATGGCACCACCAAAACTCAGCCTACTACACAGGAACCTTTTAAAAACACAAAGCAAGATTACAGCAAAAAACCCACCTCCAAGACCCTGGGAAGCCATTTCACAGCTCATTCATGTCCTTTATAATGGATGATTTTCACAAGGACCTGGTACTTAGGCTGGGCAAGGGATCCTTCACTCCCAATTATGCCAGTGAGAATCTGGAGGCTCAGAGAGGTTAAGCAACTTGCCCAAGGTTACGCAGCACATAGGGGAGCAGAGATGAACTAGAACCCAAATCTTTTCACTCTGTTGTCAAGGTTTCTCTACTTCTCTCTGCTGCTAGCATTGTCCTCGTTATGATTAGACAAACTTGTCAGCCTTGTTGTTGACAGAGCCAGGCTCTGCTCCATCATTATAGCTTTCCACCTGGCGGCCAATTTCTGGAGCACTTTCTACGCACTGCTTCCTTTATTCTCTGCAATAACCTTGAGTGACAGAAGTTGGATGGTTGGATGGTATGGGTTGTGTACCGTCGCCCTTCCTCAGGAAACCTCCCGGGACACACTGCAGCCTAAAGGCTTCCTGGTAGGACTCTAATCAAACCCCAACTCTGAAATATGGTCAGTCTGTGTTTTGTGTTTCACCTTCAGCGTTTACCAGAAGTCTACTCTTAAAAGCCATCATTGAAATGCACATGGAACATTCTCTAGAATAGACCATGTCTTATGCCACAAAACGAATCTCCATAAATTTACAAATATCAAAATACTACAAAGCATCTTCTCAGACCACAATGCTATCAAATTAGAAATCAACAATAGGAAGACCAAGGAAATAAAGTCAAATACATGGAAACTGAATAACACCCTGCTGAACAGCGACTGGGTAGTAGAAGAAATTAAACATGAATTCACAAAGTTCCTAGAAACAAGTAAGAATGAAAACACAACATACCAAAATCTTTGGGACACGGCGAAAGGAGTGCTGAGAAGACAATTTATTACAATAAATGCACACATCCAAAAAGAAGAAAGAACAAAAATTACCACATTATCACAGCATCTACAACAATTAGAAACAGACCAACAGAGGGAACTTACAGGCACCAAAAGAAAAGAAATAATGAAGATTAGAGCAGAAATAAATGAGATAGAAAACAGAAAAACTATAGAAAGAATCAACAGGATAAGAAGCTGGTTCTTTGAAAGAATTAACAAAATCGACAGACCATTGGCAAACCTAACAAAAGAAAAGAGGGAGAAGACACAAATAACATGCATTAGAAA